AGTACCTTGAGCCCTGTAAGTCTATCCCAGACGCAACTTGGAGATAAAACCACGTAAGCTTACTGACTACCACCCAAGGCTGAGCAACAAGAGCGCCTGTCTCTGGCCCAAGACATGGCTCCACGGCGATGGCCAGCAAAGGCTTGGATGTAAACCCAAGGCGATGACAAAGACAACAATGATTGGGCTCCAGCGACGCACATCACTGGAGTCAGTCTCAGGTACGTCTAGCCTCTTACTATCTCCCTCCCCATCTTCACCTTTCGCTGCGATTTTCTCGCTCTATCCCCATGCTTCTCCTATAAGCACAGTGGCACGCAGAGTCGCAAGAGCAAACACCTTTTCTATCCTCCGGTCTGGAACCCACTTTCATATTTCTTGAATGCGGAGTCCGACCGTACGGGCAGAGAAGGATCATCGCTTTTTAACTGTACTGCAGTGATCAAGATTATTATCCTCTAGTAAAGACAAAGCGATGACATTCTTGTCCATTGTTTTCAAGTTCATACGTGGGCACAAACAAGAAGCTAACGATGTACATTTAGTTAAGCCCTCTTTACTGCCACCGCATCATCCAGAAGTCCCGAACAACCCCAACCCCCAACCCCGACCGAATCTCCCGCCGTACCCCCCATTCATCGATATATACACCCCGCCGATTGCTGCTTCTCCGCCTTATACCCCACCTGCTTAGACATCTTCTAAGCCACATCCACCCTGAATTTCGGATCTTCTCCATGGACCACCGTGCCCCAACGTTGTCAGTTGGCAAGCAGGACACAGGAGAAGAAACAGTCACTAAGAAAGGATGGGCTTTAGATTTAGATTTTCTGTTTGATAACTACTTAATATAATCTCTTCTGCGTTGACCCAATACAACATCCGACATGACCACATGATTCAAATTCCTTGTGTAACTACCGGGGATATCACTGTGAAGGCAATATAACCATCAACTTGATACACTGCTTCACCCATATACAAGCAAATAGCTTCATGCCCAATCATCTTTCTCCAACAAATCCGCAGCACTGTCGATGGCCTTGGTAACGATGCCAATCCAACGTTTAGTAGCCGCCTCGTCACCCTCTCCAATAGCTTCTACTATACCAGGAAAGGTCGCGCCCGAGTAGCCAGTCCACTTGCCCGGTGCAAAGACCACATGCTTGAACCAGCTTCGTCCATCAAGTCCTCCAGGAAACAAGAACTTGCGCTCCAAGTATTTGTACTTATTGTTGACTGCGCGGATGGCAACAAAGAGTTGGAACTTCTTCCAGGGTTGCCACCAGGGGATATGGTCGATGAGGGAGTACTGAAGTTCGAGATCGGCAGCTCTTTCGTCGTGAGCTGCAGAGGCTTCGAGAAAATGGGATACCGCGTCATCAAGCGGTTGCCAGCTTTCGAACGATAGCGTATCTGGAGTAGCCACCTGTGCTGTACGTTTGGCGGCTTGGACGTACTTGCTCAGGCCGAGCGCGTAGTCTGTAGCATTGAGCTGAAGGACGGGCGAGTCAACGAGCTTGGCCGCTACGAGCGCCCAGATTTTTGATATGGTGGCGTGGTACTCGAAATTAGGGTCACCGTACTTTTTCATCCAGTCGAAAGAGTCATAGTTGCTGTGGTAGTGGTAGACTGCAGACTTGGCGTCAAAACCAAAGCCCATGTCAATCGATGGGATACCAGCAAAGTCTTGAAAGGCCGTGAAGTCACTGCCGGATCCCATTGTCTCGATCTTCTTGTCCCATACGTTGTACACCGACTGGCCAGGTACGGTCTGGTTGGGAGAGGGAACCATTTTAACTAGGTTGAATTAGCCATATCCAATCAACAGAACATCAATGTAGACTTACTAGCTTCCTCAACTACCCTGCTCAACAGCGGTGCAGCCGAAAGTTTGAAGTCTGGCCCATTTGTGCCAACATCGACATTGAGGTATGCGACAGTTGAAGCAGAAAGCCAGGGCAAGTATTCCTCCACCCATTCCGTACTTCCGACCAAACCGTACTCTTCGCCATCCCAGCTCGCGAATACGATGGTTCTCCATGGCTTCCATCCAGATTCCATCGCAGCACTGAAGCTTCGGATCACTTCATTCAGAGCTGCAGAGCCGCTGTTAGGATCCCCTGCGCCTCCGGCAATCCACGCATCCCGATGATTTCCCAAGACAATAACTTCGTCGCTGATCGTGCCGTTGATGACTCCAATCACGTTCCAGAGTGGTGTTGTAACGTATTCCTGTTCATTTACGAGATTTAGGACAACGTCATCTGGAGACGGTCCAACATTGTACTCCACACCCTTGTAGTCCAAGCCACCGCCGTGCCAATGCTCGTTGAAAGATGATGCTTTCGGACCATGACCGTTGAGAGCCTTAAGGAGAGGGAGGGCATCGAGGTAGGAGATAGGTAGAGATGGAATATGTGGCATAGCATGATCGACCGGTTGGCGGGGACAGCCAGGCTTTGAAGGGTAGCCAGGGGTAGTTGGGTCACCTGGGGCGAAACCTGAAGGAACCACAGCATTAGCAAAGCACTGGAAGAATAAGGCTCAACTTACTCAAAAACTGGACACTTCCTCGCTGGACACTGCTAGGCTCTCTGGCTGGACCATCTGGATAACATGCGACGCCGTTCTTCTCGGTGACCTCACCATCGTCGCCAGGATCGCTGTACATGACCACGCCAACCATACCTAGCTCTTGGGCACGCTTGACCTTCAGGCCACGGAAGACACCGCCGTACTTTGCCAGCGCAATCTTGCCTTCCAGGCTGACGTTTGCTGCCCTGAGTTCCTCAAAATCCTTGTATGTGCCATAGTTGACGAAGACATAGGGGGCCGTGACATTTCCTGAGGCGCTGTATCCGTGGAAGGTGGGTACACGATCTGCAAGTTGGCTTGACTTGTCCTCGTCCAAGACGTCTTCTTCCAACCGCGCTTCGTACGTAACCTTCCATGCGCCCTCTGAACCAGCGGAAACATCCTTCTTCTCGTGCCCGTCTCCAATCCTTTCCATCAGAGCCAGCCGGTGACCTTTTGGATAGTTGATGTATACTTCATAGTCGACGATGGTGCTAGCGACTCCCCACTCCTCCCATCGTTCTCTTGTCCATAGTGCCTGGCTAAAGTTCTTCCCGGCGAGATGTGGCCCGCTGGTATAGTACCTGTTCCAGTATTCCGCCTTTTCTGCGCTTGGTGTCTCAAGCAGAGTCTTTTGTAGGTCTTCAAAGTCTAGTGCCGTCTTGCGTGCCCATCCTTCAGGAACTTGTTTGGCAGACGAGGACAAGAGTGCAGATACTCGTGATACAGAAGCTTCATCGTCTTGGGTAGGAGGCGCAACAGCGAGAAAGAAGATGGCAGCAAGTCCACCGGCGATTATTGTCGCGCTCAGGAGGGTAGTGCAGAAGAATCGAAGGCGATGGTACGGGTAACGGTCGCGATGGGGGCGCACATCGACGCGTTGAATCAATGGACTTCTTTCGTCGGCCATGGCTGTTAGCTTTTCATTGCTCGCCAGGAGCTTTGTATACAAGGAATGATGAGTCTTCGATACCTAACCAGAGGTTCTGGAGATGATAAGGCCAACTCCACCCAGCAAGCTATCGCGCTGTTTCGGCTGTAATGGCGTCACCTGCCTGAACATCTTATCCGCTCGTATCTTAGCGCGCATCTTCTGCCAGGGGTGCAAAGAGCCGCGGCATCTACTTGCATATCGAAGCTGCGGGCAACTACAACGAAATTTAAACATATCTCATTTTTGCTGTATCTTCATTTCATCGTCAGCATGGGATGGTGTTGGTCGCTTTGGTGATGCCATGCCAGTGAGCAGTGGCGCGTGCCAGCATTTACACAGTAATTTACACGCAGCCAGTGGCAGAACAAACACAACTGCTCGCTGTGAATTCGAAAGCCGTTGTCCACATGATTTTTCAGAGTGCTCCTTTGGTTGTATCCGGGCCTAGTTGTTGTTATTGTCCTTTTTCTACTTGGTTGCATCTTAGCCATCTAATTGGATTACGCAAAGTTAACCTCAACACATGCAGCGCTCTATTTGTCTTGACGTGGAATCCTCAAAATCACTTCCAAAAACTCGACCCGTTGTAGAAATTCGGCGACTTGAATGTCTCTTGTTCCACCACGTCCTCGAGGTATTCAGCAAGATGGTGGTATTCAAATGCTTATTTGCCTCATTAGTCGACTAACAAAAACTCTTACAGACGTCGAATTGAGCAATGAGAGCCATTTTCACTGTATCTCCACAACTGAGGGGTATTACAGAAGATCAATGTGCACCATGCAACGGCACGCATGAACCTGCAGTAATAGATGTAGCTTTGAGAAAACACAAGTAGATGAAATGGGTGAAGTACAATGGGAAGTAGGTATTCAAGAAACAAGTGTCACTGTTGGCATGGGGATATCTGGGGCACTTCACATGGCCTAATACTCATTATGCTGAATCACGAGGACTTTGACTACCAATTATTCCCTGCAGGGCTCCATAGACAGCATGTATCAATTCAAGACGATACAGAGGCCGAATCAAGCCACATTTACGGCACTGAAAGAGAAAAACAGAATGCCATTCACACAGAGGAATTGGGGCTCTCATCATTCCCAATTTTCTCCGAGTGCCTAATCTTAACCTGTCACGTTCACTAACCCTTTACTAAGCTAAAAGGTGAGTGCAAAAAGCGTTTGCAAGTGCTATTCAGACGTGTCGTTTACCCTTCACATCCCCCTCTACCCCCATCTCCACACACATTCCCATCCCCGCCACCACAAAAGGCAAAACGCACTTCAAAAAGCCCGCCTCCAACAAGTCCACCTTCCAACAACTGTGCAGTCCAAAAATACACCTCAACCCACTCCACCACCAGTGGCAACACCAACTGCAGCTCCACCTCCGCGTGCTGCAGCTCCCACCTACACCATGAGCTGTGCCGACGCCCGCCGCAAGCAGCAACTCCGCAAGGAACTCAACAGCATCTGCGAGAAGGTGGCCACCAGATCCAAGGCCCTCATCGACACCAGGTACAAGTACTCCTGCATGGAGCACATGCAGGAGTACAAGCTCTACGTGTTCTTCGAGCCCGAAGTCAACCTGGCGATGCTCAGCATCACCTGCGAGCACCAGCGCCAGCAGATCGAAGAGGTTGTCAAGGCGCAGCTCGAGGTGGCAAGGTGGGCGAACTTGCTTACCATGGCGGAAGCAGAGGAGAAGCGGCTTGATGCCGAGTTCTGGGCGCTTGTCAACAAGTACAAGAAGGGTTGAGGAGGGGGTTGGATTCTGCTTCATGGATACTATGGTGTCTTTTCTTCTTTTCTATTCGATGCCGCTTCTACCCTGGCAGAGGGTTTGGCTTGCACCTTGAATACATGGATCGGAGCATTCGGGTAGCACCGTGGTGGTTCTTTCACCTCAACGAGCATGGAAACGCCGTGACGCTGCGAGCTCGGCAGCGTTACCAAAACGAGCCCTCTACTATCCAATGATACTTCTCATCCTCCACATGTCAAAGAAAATATTGATGCTATTGTGATATTGTCTTCAATCCCTCACTGATGCCAAGTGCCGTCTCAATCGCAAGGGCACAATGCCCCACATACCCCAATTCTTCCTCACAAACGCACAAAGTATAGTCACAATCACAATCACATGCATGGCACAAAAGGAATCTTGGTGGTGAAAAAGGTATATGTTCAGAGCGCTATGCTACAAAAAGGGTATGTACTATACACAAAGAATCGAAGGCACTCGTCGTATCCAACGAACGAACGAACCTCAAAAAAAAAGGATTCCATCACGTCATCTCATGGCCGTGACGAACGGGTAAGCCATCATGGAAAAATGCTTACAGGAAAGCGCGAGCGTGGCGGCGGGCCTTGCTAGCAGAGCTGCTGGCCTTGCCCTCGAGCCAGGTGATGAAGGTGTCGAGGGTGAAGGTCTCGGGGAGGTTACCGCTTGAAGGAGCAGTGGAAGGAGCAGTGGAAGGAGCAGGGTTCTGGGCCTCAGGGGTAACGGAAGCAGTAGGAGCAGATGCGCTTGGCGAGGGAGCAGAAGGCGAGCTGGAGGGAGCAGATGAGGGAGCAGGCTTGGAGGGGGCAGGGGTGGAGCCAGAGCCAGAGCCGGAGCCAGCGCTCATGGGGGCAGGACCAGGGACGACGTAGCTGTCGAGCTTGCTCTGGTAGACGTCGAACTTGATACCGGGGTCGGTGGGAGTGTAGAGCTTGGTACCAACAACACCCTCGGGCTTCTCGGTACCGCTGCCGGTGACCTCAATGTTGACACACTGGGGGTAGTTCTGGGCACCGTTCTCCTGGCCAGCGGCGTGGAGCGCAATGATCTCGTGGCGGAAGACGTACTTGCCAGCGGCAAGGTTCTCAGGGACGGTAGTGGTCCAGGTGTTGTTGTTGGCAATCATCTTGACGGCAGCCCACTCGCCGTTCTCGTAACCAACACCCTCAATCTTGAACCACTTGAGGTCCTCCTTCTTGACAGACTGGATGTCGCCAGTGTAGGAAGCAGCATAAGTGAGGACAGGACCAACGTGGGATGCGGGCCATGTGTTCCAGTGGAAGTCGATCTTGCCACCGGCGGGGATCTTGCCCATTGTGTCCGAGCTACCCTTGGGGCTACCGGCCTTGTGGCAGATGATATCGCCAGTGCCGAACTTGGATGGCTCTACGAAGCCGTTGTCGAGGTTCTCGGCATACCAGCCAAGGTGCTCAGGGACCTTGCCACCTTGCTGCATGGCATAGTAGTACTCGATCAGGTAACCCTGCTCGTAGACGCCATTGAGGCTGACACCAGTGAGGGAACCGTGGGCAGAGGCGGTAGCAGCAAGAGCCGCGATGGCAGTGATGGTGGAGGCGAGAGTCTTGTACATTGTGATAGATTGAGATGAATCTGTGAGAGGTTGAAGTTGTTCGATGGAAATGAATGTTCGATGGGAATGAAAGAATGTCTGCCGGCTTCACACAGTGAACGGACTTGATGAACGAATGTGCAGGAAAGAAGGGACGGGTATAGAAACCAACGAATTGAAGCTGTAGCGATGAAGGTACCGTTCCATGGGGGTACCTCAGGGCTCTATTTATCCAGTTGAGACCTGGTGCTCGGCAGCGTGGAACCCACGGCATGGCATGGGTGACTCGTGGAGGAATGCCCGGCACAACGGCACCAAACCAAAACGACTAAACAGAGCCTCCACCTGATATTGTTTTGATCGCCATATTTCCACTTTGAGCCTGACAAGCGACATTGGCAGGATGCATAGGACTCCACGCGCAAGCGGCAAGGCACAGCTATGGAACGGCAACGCATGGGTATGCCATCATATGGTGCAGATGATATGATTAACATGCATAGGGATGAGTCGGGTGGCCCGGAGAATTGGTAGTTCTGGTCTCAAGCAAGCGGGTCTAACCTGGCGGCATGAAGCCTGGGTAGCCACAATGTAGCCAGTGTTTTGCCCGTGCATATGGGCGTTAGCCAAGCGCTTGTTTTGTTGGTGCCAAAGAAGATGCCGAGCAGGGAGGCATTGATCGTGGCGTCTGTCGGTGGCGCTACTGATGGGCCTGGCATGTTGACATCGATGAACGGGAGACTTGGTGTTCATGCATTCGCCGGAACGTTCCGCCACCAACATGAGCGACCGTCCGGTCTGGAATACAGTAGTAGTGAGATTAATACTACTATCCAAACTCTGCCTTTGGTTTAACCCTTGGATTGCGTGCTGCAAACATACGCGTCATCACCAACTCGAAGCCTAAGTGTAAGTAAGTGGTCGGCCGTTGTGTGTACTGACATAGAAGCGCCTCGAACAGCGCGCGCGCAACGGCCATGCACCCCTGACAACGAAGACAATCCTGTTGCCCCACAGCTGTGCCGCTCTGTTCCTGACCTCGCTTGCCCACAGTCAGTATTGTTTCAAACATGAAACAGTGGATTTTTTTGCCCAGTACTAGTGCACCGGCGACAACTTCTCTGTTAAGAATCGTCCGCATATAACTGACCAGTCGAAACATCGTCGGCGAAATTGGGGTTGGACGCGGTGCCCGGGATTCGGTCAGTGATTACACTTTCGAATCCTAGACAGCATCGCCGGTGCTGCGCCGCCTTCTTTCATGCATTGCTTGTTATCGTTCTCTTTAGCCGGCTTTCAACCGCTGAGGCGAGGCGCCGTTTGTAGATGTTTCCAATATAGTTTTCGAAACGGGCAGGAGTTGAGTATGGCAGTAATCAGTCATCCCCCGCCTACCAGGACCAAATGTAGCGAAACCTTTACGCGAAATGGAGGCACATGCCTAGAGCTCGGCTTACACTGTAGCTTCCTCCAAGCTCAGGAGTGATAAATCATATGCTGATGTCTCTTGGTACCTTCTTCATCCAGTCGCCACAAGGAATGCCAGGTTCCCGTTCCTTGTGTCATGACACCATTCCAGAGAGAAGACTACGTTGACGTAGCGAGCTGTTAGACCTGAAGACGCATGTGCAAGGGGGGGAGCCTTGCACAACTTTGTCCTTTCCGCAAACGCCCATGGGCGGCATACACAGCGGACGCAATATTGAAGTATCCTTACCATTAACACAGAAGCACTGCTTGTTCGGCGTAATGTTTCTGATAAATAAGTAGCCATCTTCGCAGTACGTACGCGGGATGTAGGCGGAGAGAGCGAGAGAAACAAGGACAGGCCACTGACGGAATTTCGCTGGTGTAGATTTACGGACGACGACTTCGCCGCTTTCATTGGCTTGCAGTCTACTCTAGCCACGCCTGGATACCGCCGACCATTAGCACAGCGATTCCCAATACCCATTGCGCAACTCCAAATGCACCCTGCACGTCTTTCTTCATAATCGCCCACAAAGCGGCAAATACTGCACTACTCAGGCCACAAATACCCACCGTAAACGCCCAAACACGTTGGGCCAGGAATCCTTCCACGAGATGAACACCCCACCCCATGCCGAACTCTAGCCGCTGACGCCGCTTTGGACTACGTAGATATGTTATCAGCTCGCTGTCATAATCGTTTGGATGCCTAAAAAGATGAAGGAGATAGGTGCTGCCGACAGGAGGTAGAAGGTCGTTTGGCTCAAACGTATATGGATGCTGTGATGCCCCCTGAGATTTCTCTGGGTTCCCAGCTGTAAGTACTGAAGAGGTCGCTGATCTCGGAGGCATAGATGGCGCGGCACGAATGTCAGCAAATCGATTGCGATGAACTTCGAATTGTACAAATTCGATAGTCGTTAGTCCACGCAGTCGTGTCCAGTTGTACCATCCGCGATGGAGCTGGTCGTAGTGCTCCCGTAGGGAAAGCGCTAGGTCTTTATCGCTTCTTATTCGGCCTTCGTTGACGTCGAGATGGACGATCTTGGGCGTAAGACGCCCCTCATTTGCGCAGGTGAGAAGCCACGATTCCTCAGCATAATTAGGCATGCGAATACTGAATGCGCTGTCTGCTCGCACACGGGACGAGTTGTACTTTGATGGATCACTGCCTCTAGACCATGGAGCAGATCCACCATATGTAGACGATGGCGTCGTCAGGGTTGACGCTCGACTAGAAGAGTCGAAGATAGAGGACACAGATGATACTGTGCTGCTCTGGCTGGCAGGGCTTTGATAAGTGTGTACTCGCGGACGGTTCAAGTAGGCTTCTAGAAGTCGGGCTGCATTCGGTCGTTGCTCAATGAAGTCATCATAAAGCGACTCTCCACATGCCTGTAGAGTATCAGTATTGCTAATCACAATTAGGAGATTAACACTTACACAAGTCCATCGAACGCGAACATGACCTCTCGGAACGGGCCGCTCAGGACCGACAGCATCTCGAAGCAGTTTGAATCCTTCATATACCTTGTCTGACAACGCACCAAATGCGAGGGCCCAGTACATCAACACCGGGTTGCGCATTCCGCTGGGTGCTGATCTGATCTCGGTTTCCGAAGGCAACACTATATCGCCAATACAATCTTCGTTCACCGGCTCAACAAAGTGGTTCATGGCAGGGTCTTGCGTATCCCCAATGTCTTGATCACCATTGCCTGGGTCCGAAACAACATCACTCAAAGTCTTCAAGGCTTCTCTGAGCGCCTCCGAATGACTCGCTTCTTGCAGCTCAGGCGAAGATGTTATATCATCATCATACACCTCACTCGGTGAATTCGATGATGATTTGTGTTTTCGCACCTTCGGTGGCCCTTTCCGCTGAGTCACTGGGGATACGTGGGCGGATCTTGTTTTGGGTACGTTGGTTTGTAACCGCAATCCATACTTGGACTTTGTAGGTACTTGGAGATCGTCTGCTGATGAATGACGGGCGTTTCGGGGTTTTATCCTCCCGGCATATCTTACTGAATTCTGCCATGCCCCATGGTCTTGGAAATTTCTGTCGGAATCCTTGGACTTGCGAGGTGATAGATTTTGAAACTGCCGCACGTTGGCCGAATTCGTGCCAATTTCATCAAACCAATCATCAATTTCAACGGTAGTTGAATTAGAGCGATTCTTGATAGATTTGTGAGCATCTGACCGTTTGAGATTCATGTTTGCGGTTCGGCAGTTTATACGGGGACGAGCCTTCTTCTCAACCCTTTTCCTAACTGGTCCAATAAGTGATAAGCCCCGAGTAGGTGTTTTGACAATGCTAGATACTGAACCTGATCGGCTTGGAATCATGGACTCGCCAAAGGCCTGTTCCCCATCCACGTGCCGATCCATTGGGCGAAGATCGGAAATCAGGGTTTCCGCATCGCTCATGCCTTCTTCGGTGGTTGAAATTTGTACCAACCGGCTCCCTTCCAACCGCCTCGCATGTGATTCACCATTTGCACCAGATCCAGGAGTAATGGAATCTTGCGGCCGCCTGATACCATCTTCATTTGAAGTACCGATTTCACATATCGTGGCTCCATCGGCATGATTTATATCATTTAACGGCACAGAAAACGGTACAGAGTGAAGTTCGGCTGGCATAGTTGCGGAGTCAAGCTCAGGGATGTTTGCTCGGGATCTGGTGGTGTCTGAACCCAAATCCACTTCAGCAATCTCATTCGAGTCGGTGGCGGATCCTTTCAAGAGTCGAACTACATAGCCTTTTCCTTTCTTCTTGATCTTGGCTTTGATATCGGCGAGACGCTTTGTCTGTGTGGACACTGTCGAATCACTCCGAGAAAACGATACATTCCAATCTGGTACAACTTTGTTGAGAAATTCAGGGGGCACATGGTCTAAATCGGCCCAGCCCTGTTTGTCCGAAAGTGGTGTCGTAGGTGGACTGGAAGTATCTCGCCTGGAATTTGCGTTATCCTTGGTAGCGCTATTGACTGTATTTGGAGGGTTGAACAGTGCATTCAAGAGCAATCCATCTGGTGATTGAAGCTTTGCACCAATGTCCAAGACAAGCTGAAATCGGCCTGGATTCTGAGCATCTTCCTGGAGTTTCAATGTAAATGGCACCGACTGCGTCTTTTCATACTGCGGAAGTGGAGTATCGCGTCCGTGGTCGACAGCCTCACGCTCATTGGTCGTTTGTGGAGACTGGTTGAAATGCAGTGGGACTGGGGAGGCTATTGTGGAAGCCTGGCGCAATGCGCTGTCAGCTATTAAACGTTCTTGCATGAACTGCAACGTTCCAGCCTTGCAACAGCCACAAAAAACCCTTCTATCGGAGCGTAATCGAGAAGTGGACTTACCATGTTGGCATAGCGTTCCCAGCGAAAAGCAGGAACAGAAGCCTGAGGGGCACAGAGAAGGGCGAGGTATACACATTTTTGACCGGTGAGCACTAAAAGCGAGTGGATGGTGAGAAGGCTGCAGGCAGCTGCTGCGGCCGTTCGTGCACTGCCACCACCTCCTGCAGTGTGACGGACAAGGCTACTGTGTTGCAAGGCTGATTGGAGATTCCTACAAGACAGGAGCCTGTTGAATACTGCGCACCTTCCACATCAAAACTTCTTGTGCTCTTGAACATGTTTTATTAGCTTTCCTGGATTTGCTGTTGTACAAGCTTTGCAAACTTGGCATATGAGCGAGTTCCTGGTTATGCGACGCCATTGTGCCGTTGCCGGCTGAATTGCGAACATCGAAAAGCCGTGGACAAGGTAGATGTGCTCATGGCGATATCAAGTTGGATGTGAGATAGAACAGGTCAGCGGCAGAGACTATGCGCAAACAATGGAACCGTCGAAAAAGCGAGATGAAGTTGAGATATGCTTCGTGGCTGTCAGAATGGTGGACAGACAGTCGTGTCACTCTTTCCCGCCCTCGCCAACATAACAACACCAACATTAACACCACGCGCCATGGTCCTAACCTTATTGCCCTGATGTAACCTTCTTTTCACGACCTGTTCGGCATAATAGCTTCAGTTATTCCAGGCACCAAGGACTTGGCTAAACTTATTCTGCAGTTGCTTGATCATGTGCGCTTGGTGGTCTGCTCGCCTAGTCCGTAGACAGCTTCTCTTCCGCACCTCGGCACGCTTCCGACATGGCTATTTGCTCACCTCAGCACATAAACTGACATCGCTCGGTCTATAAACCACCGGCTTCCCCGCAATAACAGACGATCCCTCCTGTCCACTATTTCTCCGTCTTGCGGCCTCGAGATTCCCCGCCATTGGGAAACGCGGGATGGACGCGAGTCAAGAAAATGCATCATGTATCCTAGGGTGATCATGACGTTACAGGACATGTTCCGTGCTTTTGGCCTGTTCAAGCGCCAGGAACATGGCCCAAAGCGGATATTTTCACCAAGAACGACCGTTATTGTTATGGGAAATGAGCATTGGCGATGCTTTATATAGCATTGTTTGTTCTCTCTCGCTTTGTGGTCATCTTGCAACAGCTCAAGCCGTCAAGATGCGTCTCTCAACCCTTTTCCTGTCATTGATTGGCGTGGTCTCCACCGCTGCCTCTGCGCTTCCTAAACGCCAGACCACACAACCCACTTTCTCCCGCAATGTTGTCTTCACCCCTCCAAGAAATGCTGGCTGGACTGATCCAAGTGTCCTCTATGCCCGCAGTGCACAGCTTGCCGACGGCTCCTTGCTCGCAACTTGGGAGAACTATTCCCCCGAGCCACCAAAGGTGTACTTTCCCATCTTCAAGTCTTCCGACGGCGGCCTCACATGGAGAGAAATCTCGCGCGTCCAGGACACCCAGTATGGCTATGGTCTGCGGTACCAGCCTTTCATCTACGTCTTACCCGAGAGCATTGGCGGCTTCCCGGCCGGAACAGTTCTGGTTTCAGGCTCAGCCATCCCCACGGACCTCTCCAGCACCCATATTGAACTTTACGCATCTCGAGACTCTGGACTGACCTGGACCTTCGTCTCTCATATTGCTGCTGGTGGTGAAGCTCGTCCCAACAACGGCTTGACACCTGTCTGGGAGCCCTTCCTGATGTTGCACAACAAGAAGTTGATCTGCTACTACTCCGACCAGCGCGAGAACGCCACCTACGGCCAGAAGATGGTCCACCAGACCACTACGGACCTCAAGACATGGGGCCCAGTTGTCAACGATGTCGCATACTCCAAGTACACTGACCGCCCAGGCATGCCCACTGTTGCCAAGCTGCCAAACGGACAATTTATCATGACTTACGAATACGGCGGTGGCCCTGCTATCCCCAACTCCTACCAGTTCCCCGTCTACTACAAGATTGTGTCCGACCCCGAAAAGTTTGGTCAAGCCCAAGGCATCAGCCTCAAGGCCACTGACGGCACTATTCCTAGTGGTTCGCCGTATGTGGTGTGGAGTTCGGTCGGTGGTGCAAACGGCACGATTATTGCAAGCGCACACAGCGGTTCGCAGGTCTTCATCAACAGGGGCCTTGGACAGGGCAACTGGATCAAGATCGACACACCTGAGGCCAGCTCCTACACAAGGCACCTTCGCGTCCTCAAGGACCAAACCAAATTGTTGCTCATGGGCGGAGGACAGCTGCCACCCAGCACCACCAACTCAATCACCGTTACCGTTGTTGATATCAGCAAGTGGTGATTGCGCGGTGTGCTGTGAGGATTCCCTGTACATTCTTCGTCAAATTTTGGATCTCCTATAATTACAGACCATTGTGGATACCGTAAGACTACATAATGATAAATATAAGAGGTATATCATAGCTTATAGTGAATGTGAAACCATAGTGAGCTTTCAACTTTTGACCGTGCCTAAATGCGTAGATATAATGAGGACTGCCTATTTCTGTTGAACTTGCTCTTTTATTTGACTTGGATTTCCCAACGCATACAATCTTCCTGATTTGCGAAACAACATGGGCGACCCATTTCCTGTATACTGACTGAACAACTTATGGAAAACATAATAAGCGACAGGAACAACGACATGCGACTGCTAAGAGCTTTGAATCGAATATTTTTTCCAGCTGTAATTTCCGAAGGAGCAATAGTGACTGTCTTCTATGATAATACATGAAACCCGAGTTAAGCTGACACGAAGGCTACGCTTATTGCAATCTTACGCTCTTTTGTCCAATGCTGAGCCCGCACATGCAGTTCCGTGACATGGACAATGCTCAATCTTTGCTTTATTACTAGAATCGATACGCGGAGCCAATGACAGTGTTGGGTCAGGCCTGGAACCTCGGAATACTTCAGACGATCCAACACACCCCCACCCACCCACTAGCGCCGGGCCGACCATTCTTCCTAAGCGAGACCACCGTAGGCGCAAATTGAGCATCGCGGTAGTCATTGACACTTGCAGCAACCACCGTCAAGCCCGAACGCCTCCTCTCCCCCCAAACCGACAATCTCTTCTCCAATACCGACAAAATGGGTGGTGTTACCGTCAAGGACATTGAGTCTCACACTTTCGTGAAGGCGTACGCCGCTTTCTTGAAGCGTCAGGGAAAGCTCCCCATGTAAGCCTCTTTTCCCAAATCAGTACAGAGAAAGGACCAAAGCGCTAACTTTTTTCGCAGTCCAGGTTCGTCTCTATCCAGCGGGTGAAGGATGAAAAGCCTGAATCCCGTAAATGGGGGATAAACCTCAGTTCGCTGACTCTTATCTACAGGCTGGGTTGACACTGTCAAGACAAGCCGTACGTATAAACCCAACATCTTGAGAAAGAGAGAAGAAATCAGTCGCGCAAACGGTCGTCTAACATTGCGCAGACTCCAATGAGCTCCCTCCCCAGGACATCGACTGGTTCTACGTCCGCGCCGCTGCCATTGCCCGCCACATCTACATGGTACGCGAAACCCTCGCACACACGGATTGAGGAGAAGAAGGACAAAAATACTGACGAAGTGAACAGCGCAAGACTGTCGGTGTAGGCCGCCTCCGCAAGGTCCACGGATCCACCAAGAACCGCGGCTCCCGCCCTTCCCACCACGTCGACGCTTCTGGCTCCGTTGACCGCAAGGTCATGCAGGCTCTCGAGAAGATTGGTGTCCTTGAGCAGGACGAGGACAAGGGTGGCCGCCGCATCACACAGTCTGGCCAGCGTGATTTGGACCGTATTGCGCAGACCACCCTCGAGGCCGAGGAGGAGGACGACGAGTAGATGTTTCGCATAGGATTGTGATGCGCGGGCAAAAAACACGGCTGTTCTAAGCATTTGATTGCGGGGCGGTTACGGATCTACACGGTTTTACGGCTTATGGCGTTGAAGACATGACTTCGCTGGGCCTGCTTTTAGCCTAGGACAACCAATGACACTGGGCTTGGGCCTGAAAAGCAACATGATACCCCTCACTCTTGTTTGGTGCTCTCTCTTCCTCTCTCTATTCGATTTGCAGTGAAATGATGATCATGACGACGTCCTTTTGCAATTCCTGTCATTGCTCAACAACTGCAACTTTTCTCTTTGTCTGCGTTTTTAGTGCATGAAATTTCTACGGATACAAAAGCGGCTGCCACTGACACAGCTTTTAAAAAAGGTCAGTCATGGCGCCGTGACTAGCATCGCCTACTAGCCTTGCATACTTGGCCAGCACACCCCTCGTAACTGGCATGCTAGGCGGCACCCACGCCTTCAGCCTCTTCTCAATCTCCTCATCGCTCACGTCCATGTCTATCCTGTTCTTTTCCGCATCAATCGTGATCATGTCGCCATTCTGCACAACCGCAATGGGACCGCCTACAGCCGCCTCGGGGCAAATGTGACCCACGATGAAGCCGTGGGATGCGCCAGAATACCTGCCGTCCGTGATCAAGGCGACATTGGTCAGCTTGGCACCCATGATGGCAGCCGAAGCTTTGAGTTGTTCCGGCATTCCGGGGCCACCCTTGGGACCCTCGTAGCGCACTACTACTACTACATTCTCGCCGTGTGGAATCTTGCCTTGGTTGAGCGCGCTGTCCAGCTCGTGCTCTTTGTTGAAGACGATGGCTTTACCCGTGAACTTCAAGCCTTCTTTTCCTGTAATCTTTGCTACGGCACCAGAGGGTGCGAGGTTACCGCGGAGAATCTCAATATGGCCAGTGGGTTTGATTGGGTTGCTTAGAGGGCGAATGAGGGTCTGATCTTGGGGCAAAGATGGGTATCCTTCGATGTTTTCCGCAAGTGTCTTTCCGGTCACAGTGGGAATGGAACCATCGAGTAGCTTAGCAGCGACGAGCAATTTCATAACAGAGGGCATGCCGCCAATCTCGAAAAGATCGGCTGCCATGTAACGGCCACTGGGAGCCAGATCAGCGAGAAAGGGTATTTTGTTTGAGACGCGTTGGAAATCGTCGAGAGTCAAGGGAACACCCGCTGTGCCGGCCATGGCGAGAAGATGTAAGACGGCATTTGTGGAGCCACCCAGCACCATCATCATGACAAGGGCGTTTTCGAAAGATGCTTTTGTGAGAAGTTTGCGCGGTGTAATGTTCTTTTCCATGCACACACGGATGGCAGCAGCAGCTTTGGCACATTCGCGCATCTTGGCGGGAGAGGTCGCAGGCGTAGTGGACGAATTGGGTAGAGTAAGGCCCATTGCTGTGATTTGTTAGTGTATCGTAATAGTAGATAAGGCGAGTGAGAGCCTGCTGTACCTTCGATTGACGTAGACATGGTGTTTGCCGTGTACATGCCACCACAAGCGCCTGCACCGGGGCATGCATTTCTCTCAATGTCTTCCATGATCTCATCTGGTGAGAATTTACCCTCACTCGCGCTCTTCAAGTTTTTATATATGTATGCGCCGTGGCTCTCATAGCATGTAGAGATGTTGATGGGCTTCTTGAGTGTCTCTGAGTAGCCTGGCATTATGGAACCGCCATAAACCATGAGCGAAGGGCGGTTGTGTCTTGCGAATGCCATAATGACTCCTGGCATATTCTTATCACAACCCGGAATCGCTATGCAAGCATCGTGGTGCTGGGCACATGTAACGGTCTCAATGCTATCAGCTATTATTTCACGCGTTTGGAGAGAGAAGCGCATTCCTAGTCGAGATCAGTTCAAAGTTCGCAGGGTGTGGAGGAGTCATGATACCTTCGCCACCCATTGTGATGCCATCCGAGACACCGACGGTGTTGTACTGCCACGCAAGCATATTGTCGTTCTGGACATGCTTTTTGATTTCTTTGCCCAGGTCCAGCACTGTGGAATGTCAGCATGTTATGCGCACACGATTGACCGCTGCGCCTTAATGGTCTCGCCACACGTGGGCTAGATTAAGGAACTTACAGTGCATGCTGCAGTATTGTTAGTTTGTGGTCAAGCCATTTTTTTTGCATGAGGGTCAAACGAACTTGCATGGATTGCCTTCCCACCAAACAGATGCTATACCAACATGAGGCTGCGTCTTCATTGCTTCTCGTGAGGGTACCCCAGCGGCATAGAGCATGGCCTATTATTTGGACCATGTCAACTACTGATGGAATTCAAATGGTGGTGATAGCGAACCTGTGCTCCAGGGAAGTTATGGCCCGTGGTGAGCGTGGAAGAGTACTTGTTGAGTGCTGGCTGGCCATTTTCATTTTTCGCATCGTCTGGAAGATGTGGAAAACTGAGAAAACGCGGCTCCTCTGCCTCCCGTTGCTTCTGAAGGTTCTTAGGGTCCATTTTTGAGGCAGCCGAAAACGGGGTCTATGTCAGATATGGCAATTGAACGGGTAGGCGAAAAAGGAAATCACGGCGAGAGGGAAAATTGACAGAAAGGAAAAAGGTGTGGTATTGCGGGAGCGAGATAGTGAGGATAGCTAATCGATACCGCGTGTACCCAGGTACTCCCGGAACAGGGGCACTGGCACAGTCTAACATGGCTAGGGCTGTCCAAGGTACTCGCGTCGACGTATATGTGGGCCATAGTCATGCCTCTATCAGTGTCGTCTGGGCCCAAACCATGGCGGAAGGAGGGGTATCGTGGAGCATGACAAGTGCGAGTCCAGGGCCGGAAGGCTACGCGTTGTGTGTCGTCCATGGACAGTGAGCAGCAGCCAATGCGACCGGACGAGATGAAGCCGAACTATGGCGATTGGGCCAGGCAGTATGCTAGCGGATCCATGGTCGCGCTGGCGTTGGGGTGGTAGCGTGAAAGGTTTCCTCCGCGGTATCAAGTCCCGAAGTGCGCCACATCGGACTTGTAGCGTGGCCTGGCGCCTGGGCAGTGGGTGCGACATGTGCTGGCCCACCGCCAGAGTGCGGCGCTTTCAACGGCGCAATGCTACCTGTCTTCTGGAAGGCCGAGGTCCGCCACCGCTTTTGCGGCTCGGCTAGCAATGGCATTGACAGGCACACTTGGTGTAAAGTATATCTAAGGACACTAGCATAGTGGTGCGTATATAGACCAAGTGCGGAGTTTCTGAATGCAAATGCTCTGCTACGTAAAGTAGAATCCATGTCGGATCAAAAGTGGGACGTGGCCCAGAAGGAATACCGTGTGCTTGTCGGCATCTTCCCTCGGGATCCGCTAGAGTCAATGGGTAAATCCAACGCGCGCCTGTGCAGATCGAGGTAGGTCGACCTACACACTCTCCCTGGTGCTCATCGGGGAGCGAAAAAAAACCTGTCGGGACAGATGGCTTGAGGGCGTGGGGGAGGAGCTGTAGTGACGTCACGATGGATCTGGCAAGTGGAGGGAGGGTCGGACGGGAAGAACAGACTGTGGGGGTGGATTGATAGGAGGAAGAGAAAGAAGAAGAAGGTGACGATAGAGAAGAGGGAGACGGTGAAAAGCTGCGATAGGGCTGAGGGTGGTGGCGTCCAGTCAGCCCTGCCAAGTTGCACGATGCAAGGCAGAGGCGTCGCTCCCGCATCGGGGCTACGAGTGGCAGGAGCGCGCACCCAACCGCCAACGTCATTTTGCCCATTGCCCGCCAGAGTCACAACAACCACCAAAACTCTGCAGTTAGGGAAACAACCACCACCACAACCACAACACCACGGCTACCACCATCGTCACCCATAAACAAGTCATCTCCGGTGGCTGCCGGCCCTACGTAGATTCTCCATCCAGCAAGCTCCATCCCAGCCTCGTCATCGCCCGCCCGCAACTCCATCTCGCGTAATTCCTTTTGGACAGGATGCCCATCCACATCGCACAATTCGCCCAGCTGCTGATGACGAGGCATTGCTAGCCCTGTATTTGTTGTTCGTCTAACGTGCCCGCCTCTCCCCGTACCAAACTTTCCAGGCACCGGCTCGTTCCCGCCAGCAGTTGGGGCACGAGTCCTTCTATCCGATTCCATTGGCTGGCCCCAGATCGCCCGTCACCTTGCTGCACGCCAGCACTCCCACGGCCCGTTGGATATACATCCACCGTCGTTCCACGCCAAAGTCTATGGAGCCTCATTCGCGTCCTTGCACGGCCCAGAATGGCACGTTGCGTCTTCCACAGGCTCTGCTGTCACTCCTGAAGACCACTCTTGCAGGCTCGCCCAGCCATCCAGTGACACAGACCGACTCCCACCTGGTCCCCTGGAACGCCGCGGATATAAACAAGTCGGCCTACCGTTTCCTCAACCTGCTCACTCCCTTCGTACTCCGCCGCGGCAATTGGTCTTTGACTCCTGCGGGCATGGTTGAGTTGACAGCGCTGTGTGGAGTCGCGTCTGCACTTTGGATCCGGAGGAAAAGGGGTGGTAAGACCAGCCCTGGGGGAACTCAGCACGCATCTGAGGCCGCAACCGGTACGTTGGTTTTGTCAGATTAACAACCCGTCCATCTTATCACGTGGCCCAGCTAATGCACATGTCCAAGTACTAAGCTTATCGCGCTAACGCTCCATAGATGATGCTGCCATTACCGACCCAGCTCTGATAAAAAAGTACTCTACAGTCAAGTCCTACACCGTGCCCTCTACTGGCTTCACTTATCCTCAACTGCGTACCTTTTATCGTCCACACCACCAAGAAAGCAAGCTACCAAAGGACCCCTGCCCGATTCCCCTTCTGGTCTTCGTCCATGGTCTTGGCGGATCTATTGCCCAATTCAGTCCTATCCTTATCAGTCTTTCCAATCTAGCACCATGCTTGGCTCTAGACTTCCCTGGATGCGGTGCGTCGACTTTTGAGCCAAAGGCATGGGAAGCCTACACGACCGAGGCCCTTGTACATCTTCTTGCAGTCGTCATTGAAGAACATCGTGCAGCCGACGAAAGACAGCCTGTCGTTCTGGTCGGCCATAGCATGGGCTGCTCTCTGGCTGCCCTACTAGCCTCCCCTACCTCTCCACATGCCCATCTTCTATCGCAATACGTCAGCGGCTTGATTGCTATATGTCCACAAGCCGAGCCTCCGACTGAGAGAGAAGTCAAACAACTGCAGTACCTCTCGTCAGTACCACCAGTCGTATTTGACCTGGGAAGACGCTGGGATCGGAAAGGGGGTATTGCCAGCAAGAGTGTTTTACGCATGACAGGAGCAGATGCAGACGTGGAGACAAGAAGAATGCAACTGCTTTTCAACCAACAAAGCCGAAGTGCTGTCTGGCAGAGGATGGCACGAGGCATGTGCCCTGATTACTCCGATGGCTCACCAAAGGGCGGCCTTCCCGGAAGACAGGTCTGGAGTGGCCTAAACATGCCCGTGTTCCTCACTGCCGGCGAGATGGACGGCGTGACACCAGCTTCCAATGTCAAACGCGTCGTGGAATTCTTGGGGAGAGATGTTAGTGCCATTGAGCCACCAAGCGAGAGGGCTAGTCTACCTATCGCAGCTGCACCATTTGTTCCTGCCTCTATCATATCAGAGGTGCCCACGAAAGAGCACAAAGATTCGGGCATCGACGCAAGGGACTTGCCACGATGCGAAGAAGACAACAAGACGATTGAATCAACTTCTGTATCCACTGCTGACGGCAGTCTTGTGTCCACTGAGGATGGTACCAGAGAGGGAAGTATGACCACTGCAGACGGTCCGCTTCTCTCGGGAACTTCAACGTCATCGTCAACCACGCCATCACCTCACCCACGCAAGCTTGTTGTTAAGACAGCAATCATGCCCAAGCCAGCAGCTCACTCTCTACTCTTTGCTCCATCTACCTCGCGTATCATAGCCGGGCTTATAGGTACATTCTTTGCTGACTACATCGATCCTCGTCTATCATTGGCTTGGCAACTCAGTTACCTGTCGACCGAAGGCAAATGGGACGTGAAGAATCTCGAAAAGTGGAAGGCAGTGCAGCCGGTGTCTGCACCCATTGCCAACGTCTTCCGGGCGATGAAGACGCTTAGAGAAGTCGACGAGGAGCATACGCCCAAGGTGCTTACAAAGAAGTGGGCTGGCAAGCTCTGCGCCGTTATTGACATCTCGCACGACAATCCCGTCTACGACCCCAAAGGCTTGGAAGAGGGCGGTATTCCGTACCACAAGTTCCCGACTGTGTCGAAGCAGCCTCCACAACCCGCCGAGGTCAAGGAGTTTTTCGATCTCGTCGACAGAATTCGAGCTGAACAGCGGCCCGGTCTTATTGGTGTCCATTGCCACTACGGCTTCAACCGCACTGGCTTCTTCCTAGTGTCGTATCTGATTGAGCGTCTGGGATACAAGGTCGAAGATGCACTGGATGCGTTCCAGCAAGCGCGCCCACCGGGTATCCGCCACTCGCATTTCATTGACGCCTTGTATGTTCGCTACTGCCAGGGTCTCAAGAGAGCGCCAACTCTGTGAAGGGTAGCCTTGTCAACAGATGCGTTGTTGCGGTGCTTTTTTTTCTTCTTCTTCTTTAGTCGATCCAACTTTTTTTTTCCCTTCTTTGTTGTGTGCATTTTGTTAGCGTTTGGGTTCGGTTGGGGTAGGCTTCTTGTTGTATGAGTATAACCAATTCTCACAAAGGTTCCCCTTTTTTGTAATCGGTATTTTAGGCCGGGTATAGCGTAAGCGTTTTTGGCGTTTTTTTTTCCTTCTTTTCTTCTCTTTTTTTTTCTCTCGTTTGTACAATCGGGGGTCAGGTTCGGGGATGGGATTTCGGTATTTGTGTTATCAGGACACATACATATAGAGATTCAAGTCTATAATCATCACTATGGTTATCATTAGACACTTTGAGATTCGCGTCTTGTATGGTCTTTCTTTCTCTCTTCTCTACTACAGAATCGCGATTACATGGCCTTCTTTACTTCCTCTCAGTTACTCTCGTTACACATGCCGTGTGGGGCATCCCCCATGTCTATTCGTTCAAACGTGTTAATCTAGCAACAGCATCACCCATTATTCCAATAATTCTAGACAGAGAAGAACATTTGTTCAAAAGGTTGGAAACAATTCTTTTTTTTCTCTTTCATATCTAAATTCTCTCTTTCTTTGCAAACAAGTTTCGTTTACTAGGGGCAATGAACAACCCTTCTTCTTCTAACGATTTGTTCTGCCCTAATCGCCACCGTCTGTCTTGTTTTTTTCCCCTCTCCTTCTTTCTTTCTTTCCTTCGCCCGTTTCCGTTTCCGTTTCCGTTTCCGTTTCGGGGTGTTTTTTTTCTTTGCTTTATCCCGCGGAAAACCGGAGGGAGAGGGGGAAAAAGGAAAGAAGGGGGGTTCCGCCGTTTGATTTACTTTGACGGGTGCTCATGTTTGTGAGATGAGTTTAGTTAAAAGAGATAGGGTGAGAGAGAGAGAGAAAAAAGGGGGTGTTGGCAAGATGGAAGATGGGATGAAAAGAAAAATAGTACAACTACATTGATTGGGAACCGTGGGTGTGTTCTTCCTCTTCTTCCTCTGATGAACATGATGATGATGATGACGATGACGATGACGATGACGATGACGATGACGATGACGATGACGATGATAGTAATAATGATAATAGCGACAATGATGGTGGAACGAGAGAAGAGAAAAGTAAATAGGAAAGAGAACATTGATATCCTCCATATCGTCGTTCATCATTCAAAAGTTTCCCCTGCCAGATCATGATATAGCTTTTGATCCTAGCCTCGTGAAAATCCTTCCCTTCTTCGATCAACCCGTTTTTCCCCTTTCCCTTCGCCTTGATTCTTTTGCTCCTTTTCCTTCTTGCATGGTAAAAAAAAGAGTAGCTTTAAACAAGCTCGTACATGGCCCCGTTAAGAAGTTTAGTCTAGTCTTGAGACTTTCCACCGCAGCGCCTCGCAATGCATTCGTCAATGTAGCTAGAAATAAGACAAGAGGTTGAAGCGAATGTGTTGAAAAATAAAGCAAGTTTTGAATGCTCGTGTACTGCGTAGGCCTTGTGGTCAGTCAGAGTTACTACAATTTCTTGGTCCTGGCGCTTGGGCTGATGGCACAGCCGTATGGAGGGGTGGCTGGCCCGGGTCCCCAGGTGGTTGTGAGGTGGGTTGGAATACCCTGCTCGAATGTCTGTACACTCACTCTCATAGTAACGGGAGCAAGCTGTCATGTCGAAGTCACAACCTCTGTTCTTGAGACTGGGGTTCCGGGGTCGTCTCTACACCCTCCATAGCGCCACCCTCTTTGCTTCGTGGAAAGACAGTGCCCTCGGTAGTAGTGGGTGTTCCAAGCCTTTCGGTGGGGTACTTTTCGAGGTCCTTATGGCTAGTTGAGAAGGTCGATATGACCGGAGTATAGTTCTGAGGATGATCAGCCTGTGTGGGCGTCTTGGCCTCTGGCCCAGCAGAAACGGGGCTCAGCAGACTTTCTGGTCCGTGCTTGCCTTCGGGAAGTTGTAATTCGGGTTGCGAGTGGATAGCACCTACTAGGCCGTTCCAGCCTCCTTCGATGTCGCGGAGCAGGCGCACATACTCCTCCGGTACTAGACCGCTCTCCCCAGTCTTTGGGTCTTGGGCCACTAGCCAGCCTTGGCCATGTCTATAGGATACTAGGATGACCTGGCCTTCTACCAACGGTAGTTCATTATCATTTTCACGGGCAAAGTCGAACAAGGCAACAGCCTTGCCGTGCATCTCTTCGTCGGGTGAAGCAATGGTAAACTGGTAGTCGCGTGAAAAGCGGCTGTCGTCGTATATGTAGTCTTCAGGCTCGGACATGTCGTCGTCTGAATCGTATGGCGGGCCTTGTTGGAGGGCTGTATCGGCGTCGGCATATGCGCGTGGGGGCAGGGTTGTCGCAAAGTGGGAATCACGTCGTGACGCACCTTCGGGTACGCCGAGTCGGGATGACTCTGGCGGGTATGTAATGTACTCGCTGCTGGAACCATTAGCAGTATCGTCGTTGCCGAATTGGCTGCTGTCGCCATTGAGGGGCAGAATGGAACTGCGCCGTTGTTCTTCCGGGTATCCTCTGCGCCCACGTGTGTGATCAAAATTGACAATGTTGGACTTGTGCTTCTTGTGCCGTGCGCCGTGGTGGCTAGTGACTACGGGGCTGGAGATATCTTCGTCCTCGCTGTATGGTGGGCCTCCATCGTACGAGGTTTGGGGGAGTTGTTCGCCTTCTTTCTCGTCCCACGACCCCGCCGACCAGCCGCTTCGTTCGTTGCGCCATGCTACCGGAGGTGGGTCCGAAAGTCTCCGGCTATGTTCGCTTGCGGGAGTGGATATGTCTGATGGCTGTTCTGGGAGGGGACCGTAGAACAGAGGATGGAGCGGGTCGTAAGCAAAGTCGCGCACCAGTGAGTAAGGTAGGCTCGAGTGGAAGATAGGAAAGGCGGTTGATTGCGGCCGTGAGCGTACCGACTGGTGGGTGTTTGATGTGTTTGAGATGTTTGAGAAGGTTGAGAGACGCTTGTTGAGGTAGGAGCTGGCGCGCTCCAGCTTGGCCTTGGAAGGCGGGGAGGTGACAAGTGGGGGTAGTGAGGTGCGGTTGACGCCTGTTTGCGCAGCATTGGGGTCGCTACGTGGGGACAGGACATCGGCAGCCATATTTTGGTCAGGCTGATGTGGGCGCACTGCAGCCGGTTCCGTGGGTTCGTCTAGCCGTTGGGTGTAGACTGGCGTGTCTGGAGCGGTGCCGGTGTCGGTCATGCGCAATAGATTTGGGGGGTGGGGTGGTTAGAGTCGAGACTGAATAGTCAGCAGTGGTCTATATGGGTGTGCTGGAAGCGCAGCAGAAGGCAGTGTAGCGGGCAGTGCGGGCAGCAAGGCGGCGCACCAGACGGATAAAGTTGGCGTAATCGGGAATGAGCCCACGAGAGCACCGGCGCAATTGGCGCTGAGTGGGCCAGGTCGCGAGGCGCACAAGCAGGGCTAGAGCGAGCGAGCCAGAGATGAGGGCTCTGAGGGTGGTGGAGCGGGAGCGGTTCTGGTTCTGGGAGATGATGGCGGCGCAAGTGGATGCAGATGGGCGTGTGGATGGAAGAAGGCGGGCGATGGCCAATGGGTTGGCGGGCGCACTCGAGGGCTTGGGAGAGGCGGGCGTGGCGATTGGGGGCAGGGTCCGTGTGAGAGAAGAATGTTTGGGCAGTGAAGCGGCTGGAGAAGGAGTGGATGGGGTTGTGGGGGTGCAGGCACAGGACTGGCGCTAGGGCTTGGCAGTGAAGGATGCAACAGTTGCGCGCCTGACGGATAATGTCGAGGCTTCGGGAGTGTCTCGGCAGGGAGCGAGGACGCGGCGTCGAGAGCAGTCAGTGGAGCGGCGCGTGGTGGACGAAGGCGGGTTGAGGATGGATGCTCTATTTTTGGGACGGGCTGGCGGGGGACATGCTAGACGCCGGTTGTGCGTTTCAGAATCAGTCCAAGGCGCTGCGGGCGTACAGAGCCATGTGGTGGTGGTAGTGGACGTGGGGAGGGTGGAATGGAGCAGAGGAGCAGCGCAATGGTTCATGCCATGTAGTAGATAGTAGCAAGTAGTCGGGAATAGTAGGTACTAGCTACTAGCATCGACGAGGGGCTGTGTCTGTGTGCGAGTGTCCGTGTGCGTGCGTGTGAGTTGTTGCGTGTGTTCAGCCTTGGAGGCGTGCAAACCGCTCCGGCTTAGCCCTGTTGGCCTCTAGATTGTTTCAGGCGGTGGGGGCTAGCTGCTTGCAGACGACCCACGCCGACTGTGCTTGCACCGCAGCGAGGAACTTCCCTGGCCAGCCTTCACCGTATGCTGTCACGCTCCCAAAAGGCTCCCAAACGCATAACCTGTCCGGCCTGCCTGTGTTGCTGAATCTCCATGTCCCTTGTCCGCGCACGCTGTCTGACAGGCAGGCCGAGCCGTGCCGTGTCCTGATCGGGCCACAGACGCTCTGCTTGCGCAATACCTACCCACCACAATCTCACCACGCCCAACAAGCCCGCCCGGCCGAGAGCGACAGCGTCCAGGAACAGGAAGCGAGGCCCATGTCCATGGCACCGCGCCGGGCCCACGGCATACTATACTTACTTACTCGGGTGCCATGACATACCTGCATGTATGTAGCATCATGGTACCTATACTAGCAGTCCTTAGCATCTAGTATTAGCAGTAGCATCAGGCATGACAGTCGTAGTAGGTAGCAGCCTTAGTAGCCCCTCCATTGCGCCGTTTGGGTGTGCGTGACGCTTGGTACTCGGCCTGCCCCGCCTGCGCGTAGCCTCGAGCACGGCCCGCTTAGTCAGCCCCGCTACTCCAGCACAATGACTTGCTGAGCTCGACAAAGCTTGCTCCTCCACTGGCTTCGTGCCTTTCACAAGCAAACATCCTCCACCACCACCACATCAACCCCCCTTTGACCTCACCCTCATCCCTCTCGTGTTGGGGGCTATGACCTCGACCACGACTCCTGTATACTGTACGTCTCCAGTCCCCCCTCGCTCGCCTCCCGCCCCTTCCTGCTGCCCGCCCTGCCTGTGAGATGATGAACACATATTGGAGCTGTCCTAGGCACTAGCCTTTGAGGACTCTCAATAATAATATACACTGAAAATTCTGAACCTCGCGTGATCACCGCCACTGTTGCTGCATACAAGCATGTAGAACCACGACTGACTTTGGTGAAGAATTTGCAGAGCTGCGCCCAAAGACGCGACGAGAAAAAAAAATATGTCCGCCGACCCACGACTACGCGCGAGGCAGCAACAGCAACAGGCAACGCCTACAGCTGTGCCTCCACCTCCTCCGCCCCCGCCCGCCGAACCCCAGCCTATGGGCATGGACGGTGCCGGCGACGCCCAGCCAGACCAGAATGTAGTCCCCGACAACAGTTTCAAGCTAAAGTTTTGCACTGTGTGTGCTAGTAACCAGAACCGGTATGTACATGCTTTGCTCTTCCCACTCCTTGACCCTAACTCGGTCAGCTCCATGGAAGCTCATCTCCAACTGGCCTCAGCCCATCTCCCAACTATCAGTTTCGGAACCGGCTCCCTCGTGCGTCTGCCCGGCCCGACAATCACCCAGCCCAATGTGTATCACTTTAATAGTACCACCTACCGTGCCATCCATGATGAGCTCGCCGAGCAAAACGCCGCTCTCTACACCAACAACGGTCTGCTCAACATGTTGGGTCGTAATTTAAACATCAAGGGTTACCCTGAGCGCTTCCAGGACTGGGTCCCCGGCAAGCCTCGCCTTGACCATGCCGAGGACAAGGGCTCCCAGGGTACTGAGGCTGGAGTAGTTGACGTCGTCATCACCTGTGAAGAACGTTGTTTTGATGCCGTGCTTGAAGATCTACATAACAAGGGCGGAAAGCTCAACCGGCCTGTCCATGTCTTCAATGTCGACATCAAGGACAACCACGAGGAAGCCCTTGTTGGCGGCAAAGCTATTCTAGATCTTGCTCTCAGTCTGAATGAAGCTGCTGCAAAAGAGCGTGAGATACATGGTGACAGCGGATGGCAGTCTGGTGGCGGTGCTGCTCGTTCGGGCTTTGACGAGCGTGTCCCCGAGATTCTCGCGACATGGCAAGAGCGCTGGCCAAACATGCCCGCGCTCTGGAGTCTTGCATGGTTTTGATTTCACCTCATATGACGTTTGATCTTTTGTTTTCTTGCTAGCTACACAGCCTTTGATACCCATTTGCATAGCGAGGCGTTCGGAGTATCACATTGACCAGTTGATGATCGTATAATCACGGGATATACTACTACTATGAATAAACTACATGGTCTTACGCAGATACCACTACCATTGGTCCACACATCAACCATTCCCGTGATGATCGTGTGATTGCCAAGTGACACATAACGCCTTGATACGACGACAATATTCAATGCACGTCTCTTCACACCGTTGTGGCTTGGTCGCACGGCCTGCAACTAGCCACGTGTGCGTGCAAACACCGCCTCACATGAACATGTTCTACTCGCCGGTAAAAGAAGCAAACCCAACGCCAAACACCTTTCAACGCTGCGACTAACCCTGAAACTTTACCTACACATCTACTCGCCTCCCTTTTTTCCCCTTTGTATCCATCACCCACAACCATGAATCATCAACTCTCAATAACCATGTTGATCGCAATGCTCCTCCTACCACTCTCCTTTGTCTCGGCCTCCATCGCAGACACACCCAAAACACCGCAGAAGAAAGCCTGTGGTTGGGAACTCATGCAGAACCTCAGTGCGTCTCTCTCCCTCCCCACACAGCATCGCCCGGCCTCAACCAAACCAAATCAACCAACCAACTAACCCCTTCTAACCACCCCACTACTACTACTATCTTTCTATCTATTATTAAACCTAGGTCTTCTTTTTGGTTTTCTAACACCCGCACAGACATATCCATAGCTAGTCTGGGTACCTTGTACGCGAAACAGACAGGCGACCGTTCCCTGTGCACCCGCCAGGATGACGGCTCAGAGTACTGCACTTGCATTTATGAGTGTGGGAATGGGGTTTGGAGTTTTCGTTATCAGAGCAAGAGACATCAAGACGACAATGATGATGATCACAAGGATTATGATGAAGAGGAAGATCAAAGTACGACTGATGTCAAGGACTGGACTTGGCAACAGGGTTGTGGAAAGTATTGTCATGCTGGTGTGTGTGATGGTCAGGTTTAAGTAGATGATACTATACTATACGACTACTAGGTTTTAACCCATTTTTTTTCCTCTTGGGTTATAGTACAGCATGAGGTTATGTCCTATTTCTCTTTTTTTTACGCCGTGTCATTGTTTATTGTGGGACTATATAGGACAAGGTGTTATGTTATTAATAAAATACTAGTTGTTATGATAGATGTTAAGTACTATCATTATGACTATGACTATGACGGATAAACTATAACTAGCTATGGGGGGGAAACTCAAACTTAACCCCGTGACAATAGGAAGAATCCTAATTGGGCAAAAATAAAAAAAAACATATCTGACTAGCTATGATGTTCAACTCGCAAAAAAAGAACGACGTTGGCCAGATTCGAACTGACGCTCCCGAAGGAACAAGATTTCTAGTCTTGCGCGATAACCACTCCGCCACAACGCCTTTTGGTTATTCGATGACGTAAGCTAAAATTGCAATGTATATGAACACTATCGATAGATGGAAACAAGCAGAGAAACTACCCAACACCCTACTCTTCCCCTAATCGAAAAACTGTCCCCTTGCCTTTGTTCCCTTGATCATTCACAGGTACAACACCAATACCCCATCGCCACTGATACGACACACAGCATATTTTTAGCGTTAGGCCTTCCATCTCAACGGTATCTGACGTGTGTACCGAAGAGGCTTTGTCTTCGGGCCTTCCGGTCACCGCCCACCATGGCCCCTGCACAGCCACATCAACAGCTAAGCCTTATACTATGTGCCTGTAAACTATCCTACAGCCTTGCAACGGCTTTCGCAGTCTGTCTCTAGGTGAACATCTTCTGGTTGTTTGTTAATATCCCTATCATCTTTCTTTACAGTATACAAAGGCACGTTCTTGAGCTCAGGGGCTGTCAGCATGGTGTATCGTGGCCGGCCGTCTACTGGATGCAAAAAATGTCGTGAGCGTAGAATTAAAGTGCGTACTAGGCCGTGAGCTCGGTCCATCTCAACTGCAAGACACTTACCCAAATGAAACCACAGTGTGATGAACGCCCCGGTGGCTGCGTCAAATGCTCAGATCGCCATTTCCAATGCCCAGGATACGATCGCAACATCGACAACTTCTTCCACGATGAAACAGCCAATGTTCAAGCAAAGGCAAAGAAAGCAAAGGCAAAATCTATTGCGGCCCGCGAAGCTCAGGATGAGATCGAGGCGCGTAATCTGCGGGAGGCTTACCTACACATAATAGCCCAACAATCACCAACACCGGCCGTGACAGCGTCACTAATCGATCAAGGAATTTCCTTTTTCATGTCCTACTATACGCTTGGTGTTGATCAGCCGCCTATACAGTCTGATGAGTACTCGAAACATCTGTCGACGCATGGCTTCCACCCATTGGTCTCCACATCCATGACAGCTCTGGGCATTGCTGGAATAGCAAACCTGTACAGGGATCCTCGCTTAAAGCGTGAAGCCACTCGCTGGTATTTGGATGCCATCAAGATGACCAACGCTGCCATATCGTCGCCTACAGCTGTCACGGCCGATAGCACCCTCGCATCTATTAATCTCTTGGGCATGGTTGAAGCGACTGCCAATGAGACGAGCCTACAAGGGTGGAGCAACCATGTCGAAGGTGCTGCCTCCCTCATCAAGATGCGAGGCATGGACCAGTTTTCAACACCAGCCGGTCAGCGCATGTACCTCCATACTGTTGGGCTTCTTACTATGAACTGCATGGGAAAGGGCATGCCCCTTCCCAAATTTGTTCACGATCTCAACACTGAAGTCATAAAGCATTTAGACACAAGAGATCCTAGAAACCGCTTCTTCTTTCTCCATATCAAAACCATTGACCTTCGAGCACGCATTTTGAGTCAGCAAACACACTCGCTACCCGACATTATAGAGTCAGCGCTTGAGCTTGATAACATCGCGGCCAATATCTTCAAAGACTCAGGCCCAGAATGGGACTACGATATTGTACTATGCGAGAAACGACCAGAAATCTTTGACCACTTCTACCACGTCTATCACACAGCAATAGCTGCTCAGACTTGGAACTGGGCGCGTTACAACAGAATTTACTTTCATGATATTATCCGAAACTGTATACTAGCAGGCTTTGCGTCCACACCACCAGCCCTTGTCGGAGCAAAGTACCATGAGCAACTAGAAACGAGCGTCCGTACCTTGTACAGTTTACAATCGGACATCTTGGCCGGTATGCCGCAATTCCTACATGACGTACCCGGTGAAGTACCAAGCGAAGCGTCCGATCACACTACCAGCAACAACTCAACTCCGACGTCTGTCTCGGATGAACTCAGCGCATCACCAGCAAGCGGAGCTTCCCCCCAAACCCCCCCAAATTCACCTGCAGAGTTCCAGACTGCGCTCAAGACTCTCGATCAAAACTTCAAAGGCATGCCATCAGGCGTCGTCAAAGCTCTCATCGGCACCGGCTCAATCAAAGACCGCCTCCCCATCGTCCGCGTAGCAGGCGGTTACTCAACCGTATGGGCCCTTTATGTCGTACGTCTCCCCTCCCTCCCCTCTACTTCCCACCTTACCAGCCCATCCCTTTTACTAATTTTCTTCTCCCCCTCCCTTTCCCACAGGCCGGTTCCATGCCCATCGCCTCCCCCTCTAGCCAAGACTTCGTCGCAAAATGCATGACGCGCGTGCAAAAAGAATTCGGCATCAATCAAGCGCAGGTCTTGGGCCAGGCACTCAAGTTCAAGCGCTACCTCGCTGCAAAGGGCGCCATCCCGTTTAGTATCTGTCCTAAGTATCTACCCCCGGATTCAGAGCCGTATGTACGGCCTAAGACGAGTGTGTGATGTGTGTGTGTAGCAACAGAGAATATAGTATGGGGCGGTTTGTTATGGAAGAAAGTGGGTGTGCGAAGGGAGGTTTGGAATGTGAGGGATGGAGGAGGATGCTATCTACCATGGATGCCGGAGATGAATCGTGGTCAAAGTTTTTCCTTTTTTTCTCCAACCTGGCTACAGGGCCATCGATAACAGGGCCATCCCTGTTCGATATGTGAAACTTAAAATTCACGTCACGCTTCTTGCGTTTGATATCTTGGTCTATTTTTTTCCTATATGATTGATGACTTGATGGTTTTTCTCACGGAGAAAAAAAAAGGTTTGTAGCAAGGTCATCTTGGTTGCATCGAAGGGGAAGTGGAGAAAAGGGGGTTTATGCACGCCTGATTTGTGCGGTACTTTGGTGCGGAAATTAATGGCATGCTGGCGTGTTATGTAGCAATTGAGATAGCAAGTTTTTTCTTCTTCTTTTTGGTTATCATAGCGACTGGAGAGAGAACTTCTTTCATAAGCTCTTTTTGAACTAGATCTTGGGAAAAAGGAGGTGTGGGGAAGGAAGGTCTGAGCATGGATATGCTGAACTACGACTGTTTTGGGCTCAGGGAGGCCAATTCGATTGCTCATTATGACTCACTGATAGGCCTTCGTTGGCCAGACTCCATTACGCGATGTTCGATCTGTTGTTACGACTGCTTGGCCCGGTTTTTTCCGCTCCCGGTCACAACGTTTGGCTGTTTTCTCAACAGACATTTTCTTCAACGGGCTTTTTTTTCCAACGGATGACTCCAAGATCCTGGAAGCATATTTGTACACACAGGGCGCAAGCCAAGAGAACGTTCATGTCGTAGTGTACGGCCGTATACCTCGATATGACAGAATGATTTTGAGCATGAAGATTCGTTGGTGGAATTACTGAGTGAAAGTACTCCTCTTTATTCTGAAGGTTGTTCGATGTGATCAAGCCAACTCCAACATGGCATATCAAGAGCTGTGTCCGCCATATTTATGTAAACTTTAGGACGAAGAGGCCTCTTGGCAGCGACGTACGTACAGCATGATGTGGGAAATAACCATTTGGCAGGTTTGCCGGGGAAAACTATAGAGATGGTAGGGCGACCAGTGGAATGGCCTACGCGATGGTGCACAGATGTCAACCTTAAATTAGCCATTTACCGGACGTTGTGCCCCATTTTAAATTGCAAAGGCCCGATCCATTTTCAATATTTACATACTTATGAGCCAAGATACTTAAGGCTGTGCCGATGAGTGCATACGCGTCCAACTAATTCCGCCAACGACATAAGGCAAACTCAGAAACATCTGCTGCTCAGCTCCTGTTGTACTGGTGGGATATCTTAGTATTCTTGGTTCTGTATTGTCTTCATGGTTTGCAGGACGAATTTTAAGGAAAAACACAACGGTGTGTTGACTGCTCTTGTCTAGCTTTTACCAGGATGTTGCTTGGCAGGGCGGGTTACGTTGCCCACAGTTTTCGGGTAGCTGCATGCGTCTACGGAACTGACGAGCATGTCCGTGAGCCGTGTTGGGTACAGGTTACATTGGAATTTAAGAATGTGGAACCTTGACGATAGAACGCAAGATCCCCGTCAAAATGAGAACAACTGTATCCCAAAGCTCGATAACCGAAAGAAGAACCATGTACTTCCAGAATGTTTCCAATGGCTTGAGGAGCTTTGAGGTCTCCTTGACACGGTTATCACGTGACGTTCCGCAATGGGAAGCGCACGGGACTCGATGGCATATCTGGCTTCGCGAGAACTCGAAACGCCACCTCCTTGACAGCCCACTGCCGCAAAATCTGCTCAGCCATGTCCAAGTATCATTGCGACGTTTGATTCACCCAATATCCTTCGGTCCTTCTAAGTAGCAATTCTATGCCACGCGGCCCCAAGAGTCGACACACTGCAGCGTCCAAACATTGAGAAACATGGCTGCTGTTGATGAAACGCCATAAGCCCGTAGGCGGAAACAGATTTTCCAATGCAAATCCAGCCACCAATCTATAATTCCATGGCATTGTGGGATTGCGCCAAACACAACACAAGAATTTGAACCAATCGGAAAATATTCCAGAATCCGGTGTGGAATCAGTCATTCAGATACAGCGCACCGCACGTACTTGGAAGAAGCTGGACTAGTCGCATAAAGGCATAGATGAGATGCCGCAGGATCGATAGAGCAGAACTAGAGGCCCCATTGTCTACCCCACCGGTAATACGAGGTCCGCTATGCCAAGATACACTGCGTAGTTTTGAGCTTAAATGAACTTGGTACCGATGGGACACTGACATGGGGAGGGAGGGAGGGAGGAGCGGCGGAACAATCTTCACTTGATCAAGTGTGCATTCTAGCGTGACCACCCGTCCCGTGTCCTGAGTCGCGAGCGACTTGCAATTCAACCGCGAGGAGGTGGCGGAAAATTGCTTGACTGGCCAGGCGTTCTATCTGGAGAGCGGAAATTGTCGCGCGCCTTGGCGTCCCAGATGAACGGGATTGATGTGGACCAGTTTACGGTTTCACTACACAGCTTGGCATCTTTCCACGGGCTAGCGTCGGCGCGGCATTCTGTTTCTAGCCCAAATCGACTTGACCTGTCATGAAGCCCTACATTCCACGAAACAGATGCCATCTGGGAGGCGCGGCGTCCAATCAAGGCACCTCCTCAGGCTTTTTGATTCAGACGCATGATGCGCTGCGCTTTGGTCACGATCCCCACTGGGGAGACATTCCACCGTCTGTACCTGGAACGCCCTCGGAGCAACAATTGCTGGAGAGCGGGAGCGACAATGAAACAAGTATAAGTGCAACAAACACCCCATGAGGAAGAGGGCATCCAACATCAAATCCATTCAGTCCTTCACTTGCTTGACGCATACCACACTCTCTTCATCTTCGACTCGCTTCTATTCGTGCTATATACCACTTTTTCCAAAGCATCCCAAATCAACACACTCTCCATCAAAATGAAGTTCTCCATCGCCGTCATTGCCGCTGCTTCTGGCCTCGTCGCCGCTGGCCCTGCTGCCCCCACCCCCAACGATGCCTTCGCTCTTACCAAGCGCGCCTCTCTCCCCGTCCCCGCCTCCAAGGGATCCGTTACCCTTAAGGCACCTCAGTCCGTCAGTGGCACCTTCGATGGTGGCATGAAGACCTACGGCCGTGGTGTCAGCTGCACTGGTCAGGTTGAGGGTGGCGACAAGGACGCCGTCTTCACCGTCAAGAACGGTGGTACTCTCAAGAACGTCATCATTGGAAAGGACCAGATCGAGGGTGTCCACTGCGAGGGTTCTTGCACTATCGAGGTAGGATATTTGTCTGTTCCGTGCAAGAATGATTAGCTAATTTCAACTAGAACGTCTGGTGGGTCGACGTTTGCGAGGATGCTCTCAGTCTCAAGGGTGACGGTAACGCCGTAGTCAGGGGCGGAGGTGCCCAGGCTGCCTCTGACAAGGTCGTCCAGCACAACGGAAAGGGTACGGTTACCATTGACGGCTTCAGTAAGTTTACCCCCTACTTTCTCATCATCTAGAATTCCAAATGCTAACCAATCCTAGCCGTCGTTGACTTCGGCAAGCTCTACCGTGCTTGCGGCAACTGCAAGAACAGCGTCACCCGCAACGTTGTCGTCAAGAACGTCAAGGCCTACAACGGAAAGGTCCTGACTGGCATCAACCCCAACTTCGGTGACAGCTCCACCATCTCCAACACCTGCGCTACCTCCGTCAAGACCATCTGCGAGGAGTTCAAGGGTACCACTCCCGGAAATGAGCCTTCCTCCGTCTCCAAGGGTCCTTCCGCCAACTGCAAGTACACCGCTTCCGCTATCAAGACTTGCTAGACGCCTTATACTCGCGGTTGGTAGTAGGGTAGATGTGAGCCTGGAGAGTTTGAGACGTTGGTCTGGACTTTTGGATTTTGGATTCTTAGTGTATATACTACTTCTTTCTCAGCACATATTAATACATGCCGTGCATGTTTTTTCAAATATCAAAAGAACACAACCTCTGCTTCGTTTGTTTACTGATGCTACTTTCTACTCGACTATCTGAACGTGCCACGAACAGCTGATGTTATTACTAGCTCGTCCGGCTTATTTGATTTACCACAACGCGCGTCTTATAAGGCCCGAATACAATCCAGCTCGCATGCAGGACGGAGGAATACCAAGACAAGTCTTGGATTAGTCTTGGCGGCTTAATTTATTAGCACCCCACGGGGTCTTTTTTCACGCCACTTGTTTAATCTATCTCATGTACGCTTTGTCGTGACCTGGCTGATTCTATGGTCCCTGATAAAACCTAGTTTCCCTTTTTGGGTTCAGGATTTGCAATACACGTTCGGATCGGGATGCGCCTTTACCACCGTACTATCACTCTAAGAAAAGGATGTGCGAGCGTATAGATTCAGTCGGAATTATTCCGACCATCGGGACGAAGCATCTGCCCAGTGTTGTGGTAAATGTTAGTTCCGCACATCGCGGGACCCTGATCAGCGAGGTAACAAGCAATGCTTGGGTACCCTTGGTTGGGAGGCGGGGAGAGCTGCCGAATACGAACACGAGTGGTAAGTAGGTAAGCTCTTGGCATGCAAATACGGTCGTTGCGAGAGTCTGGGAACGCGACTTATTATGGAGAGCGGGATACAGCCGAGAGGCTTTTCCGCCTGTGCTTCGAATATGTGCGCTTTGTAAGATATGACTGGATGTATGATGAATCAAATCGGAATTGAAGTGTCTTTAAACTATACTGTGTATTCTCTATATACCAAAAGCAACTACCGACCAAGAATCGATACGTTAAGACAGGTGCCGTGGCTCTGGAAAATAGTGCTTCTGACATATGCACATGATCTTTTGAGTAGCGCAGCTATCCCATCTATACCTGCCAGTGAGGAGCACAATGTTGTCTCACCTCTCGAGCGGCTCGCACAGTGAAAACTAAGTTTTGAGCTGCTTCGATTACCTCATAGTGATCTTGATGACGAACAAT